TCCTGGGTCAAATCTGTGCTTAAATACAAAATGAGAAATTCATCTGACATTACCATCCTAGTTCAGTGAGATGAAAGTGAGGGACCCTGGTGTAGCAAAATTTGAACATTTTGAAAGCAGCCTGATTGACCTAAGATGTGCAGAGTTAAACAGGCTTCTGCATGAAACCTCTGGGGATAGGTGTCTTCATACAAACTACACAAGGGACCACATGGGTGGGGACAGGAGGCCCCTCTGCTCAATGTTTTGCTTTGCTGTATTCCATCTTTGTCCCTACTAACATTATTTCTCCAATGGCTTGCAGGTTTTTCTTTACTCTTGTGTAATATCGGAACCTTTTACTTTGAGAATACCTCACTGAAGGATCATGTTAAATAACGATCAAAAAAGAACTCATCAATCTGTGTAGATGTGGCAGGCACTGTAACACTATGTTAACATGTTACAGGTACAAGTTGAAGAAGAAAATGCTGAAAAGCTGACAGCATGTTAAAGATGATTTGTTTATACAAGTGCTAAAGTTATGTTTGATATGTTAATGCAACCTCATTTTCTAGTAAAGGCCAAACACTATTAAGTGGTTATTTGCATTGATTTTTCTATCTTCTGAAATACTTGATTCAAGGTAAACCATCTTTACTCCTTTTGTATAACTGGATCTGAGGCTGTCTTTTAACAGTCTCTTTCTGGGTGGGCCTCATGGATTTTACTCAGTGATATTCTCCTGGTCCATTTCTTGACCTTTCTATCAGTGTCCCTTTTAGCAGGTGCTCCTTTTTCAATTTGTCTGGATTTTCCCTTTAGTGTTCCAACACTCCCACATGAGGAGTCACTGAAAGGGCTCAGCACCCATTGCAGCTTGAACCAGTGCCTCTCACAAACATCCTCATTCTGCTGAATCATGTTACCTGATGCTCATTAAAAAAGACTCAACAGTAGCCTAATCATTTACATTTTAAGATGGGAGGGAAGGATACGTTTACTTGCTTTCTATCCTTGCTTTCCTGGCTGAATCTCTTCTTATCCTTTTGGTATGTTACCTGCTTTGCTTTTCATTTTGTGTCTTTGCTGCTTGTGATATATCCTGTGGTGAGTACAGAGGTATTTGTTTCAAGAGACTGCATGCATTTAGAAGAGTTGCATGGTGGAAATACAGTTAAAGAGAAGATTGAGGTCCTGTTGCTGGTCATGGATGATGTTGTACTGACAACTGTCAGCTAGGCAGTGATGGTTGCTCAAGGAACACTTGGAGTAGGTTTAATGAGGTTCACTGTCTGTCAAGTGCATTATCACCTGATTCAGCCTAGCTAAGGAGACTGTTTGGGGGAAATACTTTCAGAGAGGAGAACAGATGTGTGGGTTTGAAAGAAGAGAGGAAACTTTTGTCAGGATTGATTTTGGGGGTGGGTTTTTTGTACCTTCAATTGTCTACGTTGCCTCTTCAGCTACAGAACTGTGAATGCACACAGTAGACCACACAGTAAAGTTAATTCTTCGTGAATTGTTTGTGTGATACCTTTATAAAATTATGTTCCCATTTCTGAGGCTTTAATATCCTTTACTTGGCAAGGTCATCAGTGTTCTGATCAAGACATTTTCTCATTGAGATGTGTCCACACTGCTCCTGTATTCCTTGATGTACTCAAAGTATCTGAGGTAGAGAAGGAGTTTTCTCAATTGACAGCCCATGTTTCATAACACATTGAACTCATGGGAATTTGCATTTAGGGGCACAATGAAACCTCAGATCCAATGTTTAGGTAACCTGTGTTGCACAAAATATACTGTCTGTTTGAAGTTTTCCCAAGTGTAAGTTTTTGCAAGTTTGAAATAACAGAATTTAGACATAGTATCCCAAAATTAAACACTTCCTTTAGCTTTCAGCTTTCTTAAAAGGATATATCCAACATTTCCTTTTTGTCAGTACCAAGTTGGATGATGTCTTCTCTTCACTGTGCTCCAAAAAGTATTTTTATATGTGTTTTTAGAAGGAAATTCAGTTTCTTACTTGCAGCTGTTGGCATTTTAGAGGCCTGGAGTGAACCAATAAAAATACATGTTCTTTTAAAGAACATCTATTTTTACTGGACCTTGCTAACAACTAGTGACACAGAATTCAAAAAATGTTGGCTCAAATGAATAGAAGGGCTGCATTGTTTTAAATTCTATTTTTAAAACTTTTCTTTACAGCAAGCTTACACTAAAATTTCACATGCTTTTGCTCTTATGAAAAGGAGTGCTTGCCTTTAGAATGCTGATTTAATATTTCCAAAGTAGCTCAAGTATCAAAGTTGTAATGTATAAAATGTTATTGAGACATACATAGTGTTGCTGTTTAAGACTATTATTATAATGCTTTCACAAAGAGGCTAATTGAAGATTTTTCTTCCTAGACAGCCAAGAATAAATTAGAATATCTTCTGTTAATGCATTGTTTCCAACATAGTAAAACACTTAGGTGCAAAGGTCAAATTAGATCACCATTTCTTTCAATGATGTACCAAATGGAATTCAAGCAGTATACTAGTTGAAAATGCCCCGAGGATTTTTTTCAGATATCAACACTCTCAGTAGAAATGAAATGAAAGAGAAATTACAAAATGTTCCCAAGTTTGATGTAAATGTAATCATATCAAGGTTGACTTGATAGGGAGGTTTATCCATTTAAGTTACCTGTGTTGCATCTTTACTGTGTCTTTACTTGTTCTGTGCTCTGCAAGATCCTTGAGTCCCACTGCTGCTCTTTATTTCAGTGTCCTGTCTTCACAGGAGTGGAGAGCAGAATTAAGATTGCACTCATGCTCTCAGTGGTACAATCTGCTCTGTACACCAAGATCTTTTCTCATGTTGTTAGGTTTTGCTTGTAGCATATTTTCACATGCCTTTTGGAATCAAGACAATATCATGACTATAAATTCAGGTTTTAAAGGTGATTTGAGATTTTAGTCTTTCAAAGAATATTTACTTTACATAAACTTGTGTTGTTGTCAAATTGTGAATTTCAAAACACTGTTTTGAAGAAGAATGTTGGCAAAGCAGAGCAATGTCCTGGTGATCATACATGATGTAATGTATAGTGTCTGCAGTGGTTGATTGATTTTTTTTTAATGGTGTTTAGATCACATATGCCAAGGAAAGAAATGTTGCTAGAGAAAATACTCCATAGTCTGTGTTTAGTTCTTCAATAAGAAGAACCTTTTAGCAGCACCTTCATGTCTGCAAACACATAGTTTTCATGCTGGACATGGAAAAAGAGTTGCATCTGGGATTTTGTGATTGTGTGTGTGTGTGTGTGTGTATGTGTATGTGTGATAACACAGACGTTAAATATTTTGAGTATGGGAAAATACTTAAAATCAAATGTATCTTAATATTTTTTCTGTATTACCCTATCTGTGGAAAAATATATTTTTTCTTGCAATAAAAATGAAACTTAAGAGCATTAATACGTTAAGAAAGTTTACAACAGACATTGAGAGAATTTACTAGGTCTGAAAAATTCACTGCCTTTAAAATAGGCAATCCTATTAGAAATAAGCTGAGATTTCTAACAGAAGTAATGATATGTTAATGGAATTTTTAATAGTACTTTTGAGCTCCTACAAATGTTTAAAATTTATTCAAATAGAGGATTGGATCATTCCGGTTTATATACTATACTGGATACCTGATGAACAGTATATTTTTAGGCCTTATTTTGTGTTTAAGAATTGTATGTGTTGGCATGTCTTTAAATTTCTGTCTCGAGATCCTGTAGTATTCATTATTTTACTTAGACCTCATTTGTAATTTTTTCACTTCTGAAGCTTTCTGTTTCACAGTTTTTCTTTTTTTTTCAGAGTTTACACGAGCCAGGCTTCATTGTCCCATATACTGTATTGCTCAGGAATAGGGTGCATAAAGTTCAGTTCTATGTTGTCCACAGTCACCAAGGCACGAGAGACTGACATTTCCAGGTCTTTTGAGACAGCAATGCTTACATGAGCATTATAGCACAACTCTTATTCTTTTTATTTGCTAGTGTTTTCACAAAGTGTGTATTAAAATATTTTTATCAATTAATTGTCTTTCATTCCTACAGTCTACTAGCTGTGGGCTTTGGTGATCATATTCAAACTACTGGCTTGTAATACGTTTTTGTAAAATGCTTCTCCCGGTACTCTGCTTTTCCCTAGTTCTAACTGTTATTCCCATATGTCTTCTTGGTACTTTGTCTGCTTTCTTTTTTTCTTTTCTTTTCTTTTTTTTTTTTTTTTTTTTTTTTTTTTTTTTTTTTTTTTTTGTAGAACAGGAGGGGTTTTTTGTAAGGTAAAGAACTGTCTGCAGACAACAAATTGCTCTTTCAAACCAAGGAACTGGGCAAGACCTTTATAGTTAACATAAAAAAGAGCAAAATATAATTTGGTTTTAACTTGCAGATTTTTAATTGTTAAAATAAATGCTCAACAGACAGCAGTAAGTCTACATGTGTAGGCACACGGTAGTAAGTGCTAATTTTCTCATTTTTTGTCATTAAGTTAAATATTTAAAGAAAACAATCTTGGGGAATTAGCATAACCTCTTAGTATGAAAAATACAAATCTAAAAGTTTCATCTATATTTTCTAATAAAAGGCTGGATCCTTGATTTGGGAGGAGGGTCTTTCATTTGCTTGCATTTCAAAAAGGATCAATTCTTTCCTTTACATCTGCTTACTTAATACATAAAAGCCAACATCTAGCCACATATTGGCATAACTAGGAGCAGAAATTCAATCCAACATTCTGATAAGTATCTGATACATAGCATTTTTGACATACTTTTGGACCAGGAAAAAACTGAATAATGATACACATTTTAAAAATGTAGCTTTAGTACTGTCTGGGATTGTAAGTTGCTTTTGTCTGATGCTTTCACTACTGCAGAAATGGTGATGGGGTTATTTACGGTAAGTCTTTTGGCTTGTTGAAAAGAAATATGCCCACACTCCTCTCCTTAATGGGATTCTTTCCTCGTTGCAGTGCAAACGGCTGGAGCAGGAGCTTCATCATCTGAAAGAGCAGAACCAGACTTCAGCAAACAACACGAGACATATGACTGCTGAAAACAATCAAGAACGTGCTCTGAAGGTAAATCTCCATTTCTTCTTGCAGGCAAATTAAGGTTGTAAGCCCCTGGTGCCAGCTTTCTGGGCTGCATATATCAGTTGTGTACATTTCGGCAGAAGTGAGCTATGGTGTTTGCCAACAACTGCTTCTTTAAACACAGATACAGCACCCTTCTGTTATGGTTTTATTTTATTTTGCGTTTGAAAGCAACAAGAAAAACATAACATATCCTCCAAATTATTGGGCTGGTAATTAACACTAAATTCTTGAGATCTGTCCTTGCAATATTACATTGTATAAGGTGAAGAAAACTGCAATTATTTGCCTCGTGGTACCTTTGCAAAACTAATATTTTAAAGCATGGCTGTTTGATCTGCTCCCAGCAGTGTGTGTGCTATATTAATAACATTGTTGACCGATACTACTAGTGACCACATAGTTGATACTACTATTTGCAAAAGGGTAGCTACTTGGAATTGGGAGGAGGAATAATAAGTCTTGTCAATAAGAATAAAAATGAGCAGAGAGGCGGAAGAGGGTCAGAGAAAGGACAGTGTAAAGTGACAGGTTATTGCTGCTTTGAGAAAGGGAAATTGTAATGTCAGTGGAATTGATAGCTACATAGCCTGCAATCTCACTGCTAGCCAGGATGAGAGACTGTGCCAGGTAAGATGTGCAAGCATTGTGCACACCTCTTCAGCCACTTTATTCTTAAAAATCTCTTTTATCAGTAGTGGAGATACAATACAAATACAGAAGCTATTCGGTTTATACTGTGTTGTCATTTTAAAACTGCTTTATTTAGACAGTAATATCCAAAGGTATCTCACTTACAGATAGATTTTCCTCTACCTCCTTTTTTCTATTTTTTTTTAATTTATTTGGGAAGCATCATTATACATACAACAGCATGACTGAAGCAAAGTATAAGTTAAATCCTTGTGCAGTTTGACATTTCTCACTAAGAAAAACAATAAATATAATAATAATAAATTGATAAAGGCTATGTGCCACACAAATGCTATATATTCCATGGGTTTATAATTGCCATGAAAATCTACAGTGAATATTACAAAATCAGGTGTGCAATCAGATGACTAGAAATGGAGATCATAAACATTCAGAGGCTGTTTCTGACTGCAATAACAGCATTATTTTAAATCTGGTGTCACCAAAAGTGCTTGCCAAGCATGCTACTTATTGAACATAGTATTGTTTTTCATTAATTGCAAGCTGACTTGTTTTTTTTGTGTCATTGAAAATATTGTGCAGAGAGCCTTTCTGCTAGAAAAAAGTTTTATTTAAGCTACACTTTTTGCATTTAATATTGTCTGACATAACGCTTACAGAATAATTATATTTTCAGAGCAAGAAGTGATTTGATAGTTCAGAGCGTTACTAGGATTTCATTCTAAGCCTGATATTGCTCTCCCAGCACCTAATCTTTAAAGAATTTCATTTCTGACTGTCACAGGAATTTTTTTATTTTTCAAAGTTAAAGGTTAATTGATCATAGTCTCTTAGAGATGAGAGTCTGGGGAGGAAAAAAAAACACTTTTCAATTTTTTTAAAGTTGAACTTTTTGAATATTGTAGCTCTGTAGAGTTAGTCTCAGTTCAAATTACTGTTGCCTACAGTGAGGGCAGGTCCTTTGGAATTCTTTTTAAAGGCCAGGTTGTATTCTTGACCTCGAAAACTTTAAAATGCCGCAATGAAATATTGCCAATGGTAGTTAGCTTTGATATACAGCACATGAGCATGCATCCTGACCTCATGTAAATGAAAAGCTTATCACTGACTTTTAGTGCAGCCACAGCCTGGAAACTGATGTCCAGTAAGGGGGAAGTCAGGTCAGTGACTCGCTTAGGAGTGGGTTTGGTCAGGGTTCTGGGGCTGGCTGCAAATGGCTGGGGTGCTCCTGCTGCTGTCAGCAGAAAGAAACAGCCAGCCAGAGCCCTGTGACAGGTCACACACTGCCCCTGTGAAACCCTCGTGTTCTTGGCTGTCACCTCCTGCCCCTTGTATCCGCTAAGTAGCTCTTGCGAGGCTGCACACGGAGTGCAGGTACGGACCCAAGCATCCCGTCCTGTCCCCTCTCCACTGCCTGCAGAACACCTTCTGGACATTTGTCCATTTTTAGAGAAATGGGACACATCATTTGTTTCTGTGGTACAGGGTAAATATCAACTCAGTTTTTATTGTCACCATAATCCAAGGAATTACTTTTATTTTAACCACCTCCACATGCTTACTGGGGAACTGTGCTATGTATTATTAACCTGTCCAGCGGAAGGAATCCAGGTATTTTTTCTGAGTCTTTCCAGGAAAGTTTGTATTAATGAATTTTTTTTAAAAACTGTCATTTTACTTATTCTCTTGCACTTAATTAACATTGAGGCAATCTGTTGATTCAGTTTGGCAAAAGATGTATCCTCTGGATGAGGAGTTTGATCTGCTTCAGATTTTCTTAAGGGAGTAACAGAAGTGTAAACGTCAGTTGTGGTGCAGGGACATTTGCAATCTTAACTGGATAAAAATAAAGTAATCAGGATCAGCTAGATTAGGGATGGTGTGAAAGTTTGTGATAAAAGATGAGATCATTGCCTCTAGTGAAATACACTTAAGAACAAAACCCAATAGCTATTGTTTCTTTTTTACTTTTTAAAATCATTTCACAGTAGTGAGTTGCTTGGGAGGAAAACAGTGTAAGAGCAATCCAAAAGCAACCAATTTCAATCCACTGATGTTAGGGTCTATTAGGTAAAATAATCTGCAAGCTTTCAGATTTATTTTTCAGTATATCAGTTCACAGGGCTATGCCACCCTTCTTTGAGAAAGTAGCCCTCCATGGTCGGGAGTGAGGCAAAGAGGCAGGGAGGCACATTATAACTGTGGGAGATGCGTGGTGGCAGGAATTTGGCTAGGTTTGGGATCTGGAAATCACAAGGATGATGAAATCACTCTTCTGCAGATTTTTGGTTTTTACACATTTAGATTCCATGTCACCCCTGAGGATAATGTGACAAATAAAACATATGGCACAGGTGGCATGCAGTGCACATTGTAACATGCTATTTCATCTTGCTGTGCCATAGAACATCTGCACATCTTGGTAAGACACCTTTTCTTAACTAACCTCTGCATACATGTCAGTAGTATGTGATTTAAAATTTCTATATTTTAAGTATTTATTGCATAGAAAATTCCTATAGTATTGTGGGCCATTCAGCCCCACAATACCAGACTGGCACCCCTACTTTTTGTAATATTCTTGTTGGTCATAGGGAATTGTATTAATTGACTGAAAAAGCCGATTTCAAATCTTCCCTCCAGGCAATGCCCACAGCTGCACAGAGGTCATGCAGAGAAGCATGTGGGCCCCTATTTCCATAGTTAAAGTAAAATAATCCTCTTCTTTGTGAAACCATTTTTTAAAATCTCTTATTATATTTCACATTGAATTATAGCTAAACCTTTTTGGGATAATTGCTTCCTAAGGGTCTATACATTTGCGCTCTTAGTACATTTTCATAAAATAAGATCTGAGAGTGCTTTGCAGTTCTAATGTGTCAAGGTCTATATGTGAGATTATTCATTTTTGCTTGGCCTTCATAATTAACATTTGGTCTCTACTGATTCTGATAAATGTATTCCCATAATACACAGAAACAACTGATTCAATTAAACACAGAAAAGTGGAAGAATTGCTGCTTCTTCATTATTTTTCAAATATTCATTCCTTTTGCTATTAGCTTTGTAGTGTGTAGTTTTCAAATTCAGAGTTTTCACTAATACTTTTTTTCTAAAGAAAAATAAAAATTTTGCCAGTGTACATGTCTTCTTTACTGACTTGAAGGAGAATCGGAAATAAGTCTTGTGAAACCAATAACTTAATGTGAAATTTCATGAAAAATGTTTAACTGGATTTGACTGAAATAGAGAGAAGAAACTATTTTTTTCCACAGCCCTCATCTATTTTGTAGTTTTTAATTAGGTATTATACTCTTCTCAAACCAGCTATTAATCTACTTTAAAGATCAGAAAAACATACTAGTTTTATCTTTAAGGCAAACTTTTGAAAAGAAGAGGACTATTTCATAGTGATATACAAATCAGGTGACCTTTACTGCCTAAATGAGGTTGCTCCATTGAATTATGATGTCATTTGAACTTGTAAGGGTTATTAATCTCCTTCAGGCTGGTTTAGATGTTACATCTTGTATTATGATTGGGTTTTATTTTTGTAATATCTGCCTTTCTTTTTAGTTGTTATTTTTTGTAGAATTTATACTACATGCTTTCATAGTTTTATTAAGAATATAAAAGAGTTAGAGCAAAGAAAGTGACCTGTAGGAGCCATCAGAAGTTTGTCTACAGTAGTGCTGTAAAGCAACTGTGCCTGATGTCATCTACTTTCTGCTGACATGTAAGAATCAGGTCAAGGGCAGGAAATCTCAATGCATAGCAGTTTGGTATTTGTTCCAGTGATGATGACTGTGAAGAAGCCACTTTAGAATAGTTAATTTAAGTATTCCTTGATGCCTTTCATAATTTTTATTAAGTTCTTTTTGATTCCCAGAATTTCCCAGATTCTTAGAGTAGAAACCATTTTTCCATGCTTATTTGACAGCATCAACCACAGAAACAAGTTGAGCTGACTGGTCAACCTGTCATCCATGAAGGGCATAATCACAAGAGATTCTGATGTTATAAGAGCTTAAAAAAATTTTCAAAAGCCTTAAAATGAAGTATAAAATGTTTGCTACTGTTAAAAAGCTCATGCTATTTGTGCTATTGAGGCATACAAATGGAAAAAAAAGTCCTTTCAGGTGATGTAGTCTTTATTTGCAAAAACTAATTCTAACTGATTTTAGGTTTGGTGCTTCAGAGCTGAAGTTTCATAAGTTTAATAAGTTTAGAGCTGGTTTATGGCTATAGAGCCTCTGATTTCAACAAAGACGCATGCTTTTGAAATGTAATCCAGGGAAATTTGTCTGAATCAGTGATGGCAAACCAAGAGA